TCTTTTTCATTTCTAACTTTTAACTTTGTAATTTTAAAATTTCAATAAAATATTATTAAAAGAAAAAAAAGACAAACAACTATAAACTAAAGTTCAGTGTTCTGTATTTAAATAAGTTTGTGACAAAGGCACTGCAATGTCAAGAACTCTTAAACGATGCTGATTTTCTGTCTGGATTTAAACCCAGACTTGGCACAGAGATAGTTTTGGCTGCTCTGATGGATAGAGTATGACCCTTTCAGTATTCATTCATCTCTCAGTGGCTTTTGATGCTGTAATCCTTCTGGAGAGCTTGAATGAGCTCGGAATTGCAGGGGAGGGGTGGTGTTTTGTAGTTCTGCTCTTTTTTTTTAGGTGCTACTGTGAGACATCTGCTTAGCCCCCTAGGAATTTTCACAAGAGGGAGGAAGGTTCTGTCCTATCTCTCATGTGATTTAATACCTATATGAAGTTGTTGGAAAGGATCATTACCATTGTATGCTGGTGCCATTCAGTAAATATTTCTTTCCTGCGAGCTCCCATTGGGATGTTCAAAGAGCTTCTTTGTGTCTTCAGACATGAAGGGAATGGATGAGGGAGAACAAGGTGAAGCTGAATTTGGATAAGACAGAGTTGTTGCCGATCCCAGGGACTAGTCTCTGGGATTTGGGTGATATGCCTGTTCTGGTTAGGATTTCACTCTCCCTTAAGGAACAGGTTCAGAGTCAGGGCTCCTCCTCAGTCCAGAAATGATACAGGATTATAGAACAACAATGAAAAGGGGATCCTTTTATGAGCTGAGCCAGTTGTGCCTATTCCTGGAGGAGAGAGACCAGTTTCACTGATATATGTACTGGTACTAAGGTGGAATTAATATACTGCATCTCTCATGAAATGGTCCTAGAAGATATTCAGAATTCCTAGAATTTGCAGCTGGCCCAGAATGTGGCAGCATAGATGGCAAATATCATCTCTAGGAGGTGCCATATTGCCCCCATTTTGAAACAACTACCTTTTTTGCCCATTGCTTTTCAAGCTTAAATCAATGTATTTTCTTTGGTGCATAAAGCATCATATGGCTTAGATCCAAGAACCTGCAGGACTACCTACCTTATAGTCCAACCAACACTTTGAGGTCCTCTATGGGGCACCATCATGGCAGGGCCCCCATTGTGAAATAAACTGCCATTGGAGTTGAGGCTAGCCCTCCTTATTACAGATAAGGGGAAGGCTTAAAGCCTACCTCTTATCTAGGCCATTTTAGAGTTTATTATTTTTAATCTTGTCTTAGAATGTTAAATGGTTTTAGAACTGAATGTATTATGTATGTATTCTTATAAGCTCTATGTAGCATGTAAGAATACACAAATAAATAACATAACAAGAATTTAAAATAATATGTGGACCATTACAAAGGAATCATAAAATAAATTCAACTAGTTAATAATCAGACAATATCAAAAAAAGCCATTGCCATTAAAAACTAAATATAAAGCCACCTCTGAGAAAAAAAATCTTCATCTTAATAAGCACATCCTGACATGCTTCTTAAAAGACAAGTAGTGATACGGCCTGAAAGTTGTCTTTTGGCAAGGTCTTCTTAATCCCTCATATAAAAGACCTTATTGGTTATACCCATTCATAGGTGGGAACACAAAGCAAGTCTTCAGCAGACAATTTTAAAAGTTAGTCAGATTCCTAAGGGAGCAGGTTATTCTTAACAGAGGGCTTCATATTATCATATCCATATCTATTGATGCCATTATTTCTCCCATTGTTAACATTCCTTTTATCAAAGTAAAACTACTACTTTACACTGAATGCTAATCTTCTATTTATTTATTCTCTTTGCATAATTCCTCCTCATTCTATATCCGTATCTGACATATATCTCCTTTTTCTGTAGAAACTGAATTATTGGTCACAATGTTATATTTTATTGATGTTAATACTTGATGTACTCCTTTTTAGGGAATGGTACATACTTCTTTGGAAATTGCTTTTTAAAACTAAATGATTTCTAACCTTAGTTCATGTGGATGTATAATTCAGCATTAAAAATACATTTTTCCCCTTAGATACAAATGTACACTCTGGAAGAGGAAAATGCTTTGTCGATCAAGGTTGAAATGCAAATACAGATACCTTCAAAACTGGCATTCTCCCTTTTATCTAACTTCTCACTCCATAAGCACTGGACTAAATACTACTCGTAAGCACAATTTTATATCTTTCATTCAGTGTCAGTTCTTACAGTCTGATCTAAGAAGGTGATGGCATTCTGGCAAATCTCTGATAATGTGGAATAAGGTAATGAGAATAGCAATAAAGAAGATTGAATGTGATATGTTAAATTATAGCAAGATTTTAATTTGGAATATATAGTGATCTAAATCTAAAAATCATATGATGAAGGAAGTAGATGCACCTAAATTTCAGGGAAGACAGTTTCAGCAAATGTAGAGACCTATAAGGCTGTAATCGCCACAGGGCATATAAGCAGCAAATATCTGCAGAAAGAAAGTTCAGAAAAGCTAAAAGGAGCCTGAATTCACAAACAAGATAAAAGGAACAGAAAGGACTTTTTTGGCTATGAGAGTACTAAGTGAAAAAAAAAGGAAAGGGTGGGTCCACTGCTTGAAAGAAATGGTAGTATAGTAAAAGGTAGTGGAGAAGGGACAAGCTCTTCCACTCCTATTTGCTTCAGTATGTCTCCAGCATTCAAATGGATTAAGCAGAACAAGTGATGGAAGAAGGAAGTGGCAACCCAAGACGAGTAAAGAGATAGGAAACATCTGTGGCCACCTTGAATTAATTTAAGTCTCCTGGTCTTGATCAATTAGATCTCAGAGTTTTGAAAGCTCTCTCCAAGGTGTTTATGGTACATTATTAATTTATACTCAGAATCCAAAATATTCTGCGCAGCACACAGAAAAAACAAGATACATCATCATCATCATCATCTAAAACCTCAGCAAGAAATCAATACACCCCTAAGCAGCATTGCAGCTGGGCCCAGTAATAGTAATTGTAATCAAGCAAAACTTTTCTACATTCTTAGAGGTTTCAGTTGAAAAGTCAGCAGATGAAAAGCAAATAATTTTGGTTTTAGCCCAGCCCTCACAAAGAAGTGAGAAGTGCAGATATGTGCTCTGGATGACATGCTGAATAAAGGGGACAATGGAGTAAGTAAGACATGTGCTACTGATTCAGTTGTGGCATTAGGACAAATTCCAAAACATTTTGTATAAAGGATGTTATCATATCTCCCCCCACCCCCATCAATAACAAAGTGAAGCTATTAAAATTTACTAATGAGTGTTCTTCTATGTGTAGCAGAAGTAACTCTGTAATCTGCCTCAGCCAGTATTTCAAATGGCAGATTCTCATTTGGACTGCTGCAGCAGGACATCTCCAGTAGTAATGTATGGCTGTGAGAGCTGGACCATAAAAAAGGCTGAGCGCCGAAGAATTGAT